CGGAAAAGAAGCTGAACGAGGCTGTGGCCACAGCCGAGACCCAATTGCGCACAGATGAGCTCCACATGTCCGTTCGCCGGGGCACTCTCACTTTTGCCGAATCCTCCATCCCGAACCACTCCCGACGCCGAGGGTTTCATGAGTTCTTCATGGTCGTTTCGGATGTCGAGGAATCCGGGCAGCTTGTTTCAGGATTCTCATCCTCGGCACTCTGGGTACGGACAACGGTTGCCGATGTGCCCCTGTTGAGCACCAGCGAGTACATTGTTCCCGATCCGTCCATGTTGCACTCCGGATCCGGCTTGTCGAAGTCGCAGCGACTCAAGCAGAGTATGTCAGGGCAGCAGCTTTGGCACAAACTCCTGCCACGACTCTGGCATGGGATGCCCACATCAGCATTGGCAAAGCCGGCTGTCTATGTAGACATACTGCCCTATGATTTGTCACTCACGAAGGCACTGCTTCACTTCAACACACAGCCCAAGTCTGTGTTGCCTCAGGGTAAGTTAGCCAGCATTGTTTGGGCCAAAGACGATAGTGGGACTGACCACCGCCGAGGGATGCAGCAGTGGCTGATTTCGGGAACCATGAACTACATGCAGAAGATGGTGGATGACAAGATCCTCACTCTGCCCGGCTACACGCCCAAGATCTACACAGCCATGAAGTCGCCGCAGTACAATGAGGAAGACTTTGTCATGACCATGCCTCTGGTTGAATGCGAAGGGCAGAAGGCTGCCCTGCCATTGCGGCAGGCTTGGCTAGACTCGCCGGATGGCCGCTTCAATGCATGCAAGATTCAGTTTGATGCAGTGGTGGCGGCGCACGACAAGGAGTTCAATGTCTCGGGTGTGCCATTCAAGGGCCAGAAGCGCATGGCTCCACTGGCAGATGAATCCGACCCAATGGAGGCATTGCTGGGCCTGGCCCCAGCCGCCGAAACCAAGGCTCAGTTGGAGAAGCCCCTGGTGGAGATCAGTGCAGCTGACATGGATTTGCTCATCGATGCCAAGAAGCAGCTGTGGTTGTTGGCCAAGAAAAGCACCATCATCAGCTGCAAAAAGCCCTTGCTGCTGCTTTGGGGTGAGTACATCAAGGACGATGTCTTGAAGAAGAGGCAGGAGGCCAACAACGCATGGCTCATGGAGTACAAGTTTGACTCCCCGGACATGAAAGCATTCCATTTCCATGAGCTGGGCAACGTGCCGGCATTCGAAGAGGGCCTCACCACCATCAAGAGCTTCCTCAAGTTCTTGGAGCAGCATGCCATCGTCCAGCCAAGTATGGCATGTCATGAAATCACCGTCGCTGAGGTGGGGATTCAGGGTTCAATGCCTCAGTGTGTCTTTCATGCAATGCCCCGCTATGCTAGGACAGCTACAAGATCAACATGACAAAGGAGTGCTGCTTTGAGAAGAAGCCTTTGCCAGCAAACCAAACCCCATCGGCCAACAACGGTGGCAGTCTGCTGTCTTTCAGTGGGACCGATCTGGGCCAACACTTGAAGCTTGTTCACAGGCTCAAGTATAATTTGACCGACAGCTCCAAGGGAATATTTCCCCAGAAGCCTGGGATTTTCCTGACACATGACATGAAAGTAGAGGCTGGCAAGTTGTACAGGTTGCCCCTCTCGTAGACATTGGACATTGTCTGGCTGACCGTTTGCATGAAGAGTAACTCTCTCAGACACTTGCAGTTCAATTGTTGCCTACTTCACAAGCAGAAGGAAAGCCAGCCCGGTACAGCAGGCAACAACAGGTTCACTGATTGGCCGGTCGGGCATTGGTTGCAGCAGGGTTCTGATTCAGAAAATTGCTTGGGTAATTTCTATGGGTGACCGGAAGTCTTTGCAACAACAGGCTGCCAGTGCCGACATTTTGCTTCCATCAGTGAAGAGTTGCCCAGATGAGATGTTCCGCGCCATGCTGCATGGCCATACTACTGCCTGAAGCCCGTGCATTGAAACGGAACCGAACGGATGCATGCAGGATGGCTGGCTTCACTGTTGTGCTGCAGTATTAGCAAGAATGCCGAGTCTGATTCATGAACATGTCAGATCCCTGTTCTTGCAAAGCCATCTGTGATTCGAGCTGCTGTGGTGTTGTGTGCTTCCAAGCGTCAAATGGCTGCTTTGTGGGTGGGATCTTCTGCCATTGAAGATACTGAGCAAAGTGCACACACATGTGTGCTTAGCTTGGATGAGCCGATGTTCCGGAGCCCTGTGAAGACGAAGGGTTTTGACGTCAAGCCGGAGATGAAGACTCCCAAGATCACAAAGTCTCTGACCCCGAAGAAAGGAAGTCCTGCAGGCAAAGCGGTGATCAAGACTCCCAAGAGCAAGACCCCGAAGAGCAAAAGCCCCACAGGCCCCAAAAGCAAGACGCCGAAGAGGACCCCAACAGCCAATGCCACACCCATGAAGGCGAGCCCGAGCCCTCAGAGCAAGACACTGAAGAGCTCCCCAAAGGCCACACCCATGAAGGCGAACCCGAGCCCTCAGAGCAAGACACCGAAGAGCTCCCCAAAGGCCACACCCATGAAGGCGAGCCCGAGCCCTCACAGCAAGACACCGAAGAGCTCCCCAAAGGCCACACCCATGAAGGCGAACCCCAAGAGCAAGGCCAAAGCCAAATCGGCCACCAAGAGCAAGAAGAAGGCTGACAAGACAGAGTCAAAGATCGTTGCGACTAAGCGGGTGCTGTTTCCTGAAGCCAAAGAAGCAACACCTGAAGGAAAAAATCGGGGCAAAGACAAGAAGCCCCGTGCCAAGAGAGGGGAAGCCCTGACATTCGCTGGACGGCGCCCGCCCATGAACGAACAGGGCCGTGACCTTTTCTTGTCGATCCGGGAGTGCTTCCAGGATGTTAAGAAGGCAGGGATCAAGGGGCCGAAGATGCAGGAGGTCTATCTGCTCTTCATGCAGGCGAAGATCAACTCGGAGGGTTTCAGCTTCGACGATGCCCACAATGCATTTCTGAGGAAGTTTCGGAATGATGTGTGAGCGAGTGTGGCAGCGACAGAGCCAGTCTGACACATCCGACTGGCATTATTGGACAAGTCGGCCAGCATGTGTATACGGCATGCTTTAGCATCATTTGTGTAGATTTCTCCAGGCACTTCGGCTGAGTCTGAGTGGTGTGTGCTTGTTTCCATGCAAATAATGGGTTGAATGCTGTACATCATAAAGCCATCGGCTCGGCCACACAGTCGAGAAATCGGTAGGGGTGATCCGAAGCTTTGTGCAGTCCATCAAGGAAGAAGGAGAGACATTCATTCTAGGTTGTAAGCCATACCATGCCTGTGGTTTTGGTTCAGGCAACAATATGCTTCATAGTACTCTCTCAGATTCATGTTTCGTCGTGTCTTGCACATATTGGCTTTATTTGTTTTCCATCGGGAGGACTGCAGGAGGCCAAGATCCTGACTTGTGCATGTGTGCTAACACACATGTACCCACAAGGCAAGTCTTAGACCTGACTTACCTTGCCAATCCAAGACTTTGAACGGGCAACATGGGGTCAGCTGCCAGGGTGCATCTTTATCATGGTGTCCAAGTATTATTGTCCGCATGGTTGCATGCCACATGTGTGTACCCGGATGTTCAGAGGCTCCAATTATCGTCGAGAAGTCAACATTCTATCTGCAGATAACATGAGACCTTTCTAAGACAAGACCCTCCAGACAGCACAGCGACCCAGAAACCTCTGAGCACCCAAGCCAGCTCCTACAATCCGGATGGATCACATGCGGCGCCAGGCACTCATATGGAGCAGAGACATTCACAGTGCTGGGCTCACCTTCGAGGACATGCTGCGCATAGCAGATGGAGTGCAACCGGAACTGGATGGATGCGAGATCTTTTCCGGTGCTGGTAACATCTATACTGCTATGCATTTGCGAGACTTGAAAGCCGAGAAGTACGACATCCTGGAGAACCCCTTAAACGACGCTCTGACCAACTTAGGTGCGACACGTGCCACAAGAATGGTGGCACGTGTCCGCCCTGGTGGGATGGCCTGGATTGCTTGTGATTGCGGCAGCTTCTGTCACCTCTACAGCCAGAGTGGCCGCTCGAAAAGCAACCCAGCTGGTGACGAGACGCGGTTTAAAGTGGAGCAGGGCAATTCCATGGCTCGACTGAGCATTCTGCTGTTTCTGTTGAGCTGGGTCCGTGGGGTTTTCCCCATCCTGGAGAACCCCCAGGCTAATTATTTCTGGAGTTATGAGCCCATCGCTCGCACTTTGTCTTACATGGCCGCCCATGTCACTGTCGCCATCTGCTGCCGCTGTCGCTTCGTTACAGCTCGGGAGAAGGAGAAGAAACCCTATAAGCTTGTTGGCACTGCAAGCTGGATGGGTGACTTAAACTTTCCGTGCAAGTGCAAGAAGGAGCACAAGAAGCTGCATACAAGGAAGGTGGATGCGCATGGAGTTGTGAAGACCACAGGGAAGGCGGCTGTGTTGAAAGCTTCGGGGGAATACCCCCTGAAGATGGCCAAGGCTATGGTGGCTGCATGGATGCTGCACTACCGGAAGCCTCAGCCCACCAGTGCCTCAGATGACGATTGGTGCCGAAATTTGGAGTGAGTTTTCAATGCTTGGACTTCGTCGGTGTGCCTTAATTAGTGCAGCTGTGGATCCACTGCTGCTGACGTTTCGAGGCATCAGAGTGCACATATGGAAAAGAATGGAATTGGAGAGGAACAGAGCAACGAGATTGTTTTAGCTTGTTTGCAGCTGTACTGTTGGATCATATCATCCACACACTCCAACCCTTTTCTTCTGCAATCTTTTTCAGTATCAGGGTATGCAGTGCTGCCAACTGTGTTTGAGAAGAAATGAAATCTAAAGGCTGGAGCTGAATGTTGGCGCAGCTGGCGGCAGAGAGACTTTCTTGTGTGTCATGAGAGCATTCGTTGATGCACCAGTGATCGAAACATCTGTACATCATGGATGAGGCATAATTGGGCATAATTAGTATAGAAGTGCTTGAATCCAACATGTCGGAGTCATGGATGACTTGTCCTTTGGAGGAGTCAGATTCTGCAACCCAGCCGTCTGAGAAACCGCCCCGGAAAAGGTTGAAGCCTGACACTTCTTGGATGAAGCCAAAGTTGGAAGACAGGCAGCCGTCCCGGAGGGGACGGCAGCCGGCTTCGTCTCAGATGCAGGTGAAGCCAGCAGAAGATGACTGGATGCAGCCTCCGGTGGATGATTGGATGCAGCCTCCGGTAGATGATTGGATGCAGCCTCCGGTCGATGAGGCAATGCCGCCGCCGTGTGTGCCAGAGGCAGCATCTTCACAGCCAGTTGTGACGGAGATCATGAACATATGCATGCCCTTGCTAAAGGTTCTGCCCAAAGAAAGAGATCACGACAACGTCTACAGTGCTCATGGGAAAGACATTGATAGGATCACACAAGCACTACGAGGCAAGTGCGGATGCAAGAAGAATTGCATGACGAAGTTCTCGGTGAAGCAGGTTAAGGTTTTGGCTTCTGCATGGCATGACCTTTCGACGGCCACACAGTACCAGGTTTTGTTCAACATGTTCAATGGTGAGAAGTGCAGTGAGCAGGTACGTGACATGGAGACCACAAATTCTGCAATGAAGCGGAAACAATGGCAGCTTGATGGTCGGGATGTCTGCTTCAGGGCTTTTTGCCGACTGCTGGGCCATTCCCCCACCACTGTACTGCGAATGATGCATGGGGATCCCGACCTTCGCAAAAGTGGTTTGGACAATATGCCAACTCGCCCCCGTCCACACCCTCAGCAGGACATTGTCCATCATTTCCTTATGGACCAGTACATGAGTGCTGCCGAAACATTGCCTGAGGTCATGCAAGGGGATGGCACAAGCTTTGCTGAGCAAGCATTGGACACAGATGGCTCACAATCTGCAGCTCCCTCGGAGACTTTCCAGAAGTCGTTTCTGTGGAACTTGGACACTTCAATCCCCGAGCGGGTTGTTGCACTTTTTGGCAAGGGTGATGGCAGAATGCAAGCGCCCCTCCGGTTTTTGCCACCAGGTCAGATATCTGACCTCTGGTATCAGTTTCTGGCTTGGTGTCAAGCCCAGCGTGCACAGCTGCAGCCACATGAACGTTCAGATTCCGATTCGCAGTTCCAGATCCCTTCATGGAGCACATTTATGCGTGTGTGGCACCAATACTGGTACAAGCAAGTGCTAGATTTCAGACAGAAATCATCTCATGCCGAATGCACTGTCTGCTGGGAGGCAAAACAGCTGCTGCACAGTCAGGGTTTACCTTTGCATGAACGTGTGCGCCATGCAGCTGCATGGCGTGCACACTTGGCCTGCCAGTATGCTGACAGGCTTCTCTACTATCACATCCGGTATGCATCCCGTGCAAAAGCTGGACTGCTGAGTCTTGTTTGTGACTCTATGGACAAGGCCAAATTTGCATACCCGAAGATGAACTACGATCGCCTTCCCAAATCAGTTGAGGGGCTTCATCGACCTCGCTTTGTGTTGACTGCTGCAATGTGCCATGGCCATTGCTTGGGCATCTTCGTCTCTGATGATGAGACCCGGCCAGTTGTGAACAAGATTGATGTCGTTGTGTGCCCCTGATGCCCCATGTTTCAGTGATTGTACTGTGTGTTCGATCTGTGAACCCAGGAGTCAGTCAAGCACGGAGCCGATCACTTGGTGGAAATCATCAACCGTGTTGTGCAGAGAATTTCCGAGAAGGGCGATCCACCAAGCCACTTGGTGCTGCAGTCAGATAATACTTGCAGCTTCTCGAAAAACTCGACTACCCACTTGTACTTTTCGTATCTGGTCGCAGCGGGAAAGATGCAGACTGTGACCGCAAACTACCTAGTTCGTGGTCACACTCACGAGGATATCGACGCTCTTTTTGCAGAGTTTCTACCGGTGCTGCGAAGGTCAAGTTTTGATTGTCTGCAGGATGTTCTAGACATCATGCAAGCCGCAATGCAGGCCCGAGCTGAAAACTGCGGCGAGGCACTTCTGGTGCAGGACAGCTCGGATATCCGTGCCTACGAAGACTGGCTGTCCACAATGGGAATCAAGCTATCCAGTGCATTCATGCCGAGGAAGCCAAAAGGACAAGATCATCTGCAGGACGTTCCTCATTCGTACATCTACAAAAGGCGAATGGACCTGACAGCTTTGGAGATGTCAAGACTTCCACGTGCAAGCAAAGAAGGTGATACCAAAGATGTGTTTGTAGTCTGCAAAAGCAGGATGCTGGACAAGGACACCCATCCTCCGGTCTTGGTTCTTCCACACAGTCGCCTCGGCAGACTTCCTCCTTTCCAGGACATTCCCCTGGTGCCGCGTCAAACCGTGTCCGACCAGAGGCGAAAGGATTTGATAAAGCTAGCAGGTGTGGTGGAGAGGGCGCCCTTCAGCCGGGGAGCCGGCTCTGATGCTCTGAAGAAGTTGGCATCAGGAAGTTATCAGCCGGAGAAGTCACCCCTGCCATGGTTTGAAGCCGCTGGCAGCATGCTTCCCCCGAGCATGTTGTCCAGGAATGAGCTGTTTCCTCATCTGCCAGAGGCAACATGGCCCATGATGGCAAAGTTTCGATGACCTGCCGGCCTCATGCAGAAAGTGTGTGTGTGTGTGTCGGTGCGAATGCAATGTGCGATTTGTGTAAAAATTCTCGGGACATGCTATTCAAGTGACTTCCGCCCCATACAAGTGTTTAAGGCCTGGCTAGGATGGCTTGTGGCAAGCTCACAAATTTACTGGTAGAGCATGCTGTCTTATCATGGTGCATTGCTTCCCAGGAAGTAGACACACATGTTAAAGAGCTTCTGCAATGCTGTTGATCGAACATGCTTGGAACGAGAGCAGGGATAATTAACAGGGTGTCGTTTTCGAACCGCCACCCCTGATTTCGAGACACCCAGCCATTTTTCGAGACACCCTTGAGCTGTTGGCAGTACTACAGCCACCCTCCCTTCCCTTCCACTGCAGAGGAGTTGCCGCAAATCATGCACATCGAAGAAGGCCTGCCGGCATCAAAGGTGGGTAGGGCTGTCATCAAACATTTGACTTATCTGGCACTGTGACAGTGCAGCTAAGCTTTCTGGCGCTGTGATAGCGCATGGTGCATGCTATTCTCTTTAGGAAAGACATCAGGCGCTGTGAGAGCGCACACACATGAAGATGCAGCGACTAAGACTATCGAAGCTCCAGAAAAAAGACACTGATTCAACCCGCAGGCCAGCCTTGAAAGAAAGCCGAAGATCGGGATGCTCAGGCCTCAGAGTGCATAGTTTTCTGAAGATGCATCACTGAAGTGGATTCTGTTGGGCACTAGCAACAACATGCAAGCACTGTGCTGCACAGCAAAGGCCCAAGACTTAAGAAGGTTTGTGAGTTCATGAAATACAGAGATCATGGCAGCTTCATCGAGCGGTGGGGTTCTTATTATGTCCTTGTCATCGATGCATATATAAAATATGCTCAACTGTAACTACTTTACCTTTGATGCAGAAATTTGAATCCATCACAGTTGCACAGGAACAAGTAGCATCACCGAAAAGCCATGTCCGGATCCGGGTGGGCCGGGTCGTCGAGCTGGAATGATGGCACATGGTGGCACTGGGATGATGATGAGGAGGAGGAGACGGGACAGGGAAAGTCCGGTTCCCAACGTGGTGGAAAGGGGACCACACAGATGAAAGGACGGCAGGGAGGGATGGCTCTGCGGGCCAGGTTTGAGGATGGAACACAGGAGAGGACACGCTCCCAGGCTGATCGTGAGGCGATCAGGGCTCCACTGAAGAAAGAGATCAAGGAGCTCAAAGCACAGCTGGCGACGGTTCAGAGTGAAGCGGACCACACGGCCCGCGAGCTGGCCAGGAACCAGGCAGGGCCGGGCAGGGAAATGCCATCATTCGCGGTTCCCAGAACAAACCTTTTCTTGGGCAGGGCATGAACGCCGACTTGAAGCACAGGGCCGAGATGGCTGAGGCCACTAGTTTGTGTTGGCGTTTTGCAAGTGAAACTTGTGTCCAATGCCTTGTTTCTTTCCAGGGCCGAGTGCGCAAAGTGAATCTGGACCTCATCACTGCCAAGTCCACAGAGGAGGCCTTTACTGCCCGGTTTCCACACAGTTTGAAGCTGATTCAGTTTGTGGTTTCTTGCCAGGTCCACTTGAAGTCGAACGACGACCTTAAGAAGCAGCTTCAGGCATGGTAGCCATGCACAATCACAGGCCATTCATCCTGCAAGCCCTTTTCTGAGGATTGCCAAAAGAAGGTCACAAGCCTGGAGGCGGAGTGCCAGCAGAAGGACACAATGGTCACAAGCCTACAGGCGAAGTGGATGAGCACAGAGTTACATCAGATTTCATTGTGCACTCAGACCATTTTCCAAAACAGCGGCAGGCCGACTTAAAGCAGCTGCAAGAAGTGAAGGCACTGGGAGTTCAATTCAGTCGACGTATAGGGCCATCCGGGAATCTGCCCCAGGAATCCAGAGACCTCCAGAACGAGGAGGAGCTCCGTGGAGCCAAGGCAATCAGTCTGGGCAACACAGTATATTGTGCATGGGTCGGCACAGCACACAATCTATCATGCATTGCAGAAGTGACAGGCCTTACTGGACAAGAAGGAGTCGGAACTTCGCGAAGTCCAGGCAACGGGGTCAATGCAGTCTTGTTTTCACAGCTACTGCAATGTGCTGCTAGGAGGAAAAGGCGAAGTGGAAGTACAGAGCACACGAAATCAAGAGTGCAAGAAAGGCCGAACATCACCACCGGCATCACAACATCATGACTTCATTTGCTATGTCAGGAAACGGCTCGCATGGTTCAGGAGGACATGATGATCAGAATGGTCAAGAAGGCCTGGTGAGCGACATCACTGGGGCTCCCACCCTCCCGAGTGCATCCGCCAGGAAGAGATGATCCAGATCCTGCAAGCAAGAACGACACAGCTGAGGCTGCACACCCATCAGCAAGCTTGCAGAATCACAGATGGTTTCGTCTCGAGTGCAATGCAAGGATCGCATCAAGGAGCTGGGTGTCCAGTCTGACGAGACAAAGGCATCAACCCCTTTTTTCTTGTGCCAGAACTATAAACTCCCGCCCCGGTCTTTCACTCACAGGCCCTGCTGCTGGATCTCTACGACTGCTACGAGGCTCTCGAGGCAAAGCTCGTCGATGCTAAGGAAGGATCTTGTTTACCAACTCCAATTTACCTTCCAACCCTCTTGAATTGCAGGCAAAGTTGAAGGCACGGGATGGGGCTCGGCTATCCCCGACATCACCGGTGCCCGACTCAATTTGATATCTCTCGCAATCCTACTTCTTTGAAGCCACCCGCTCACCAGGCTCGGGCCTTGAAGGAATCGGGATCGGAAGACTCTGACACCGAAGTTGCCGCAGCCTCAAATCAACATTATTGAGCTGGATATTACTATGCCGGAAGATCTTACTGTCCCTCCTATAGGTTTCTCGACAAAGTGACTCCGAAGACAGCTCTGTTGCAAAGGCAAGAGACTCAGAAGCACAGACAAAGCTGAAGTTGGTGAAACATATTAACCCTATTACAACTGTCAAGGCCACGGCAAAGCGGCCGCGAACCAGGCAGGAACCTTTGCAGCCACGAAGGATGAGTGCATGCACCAACCACGTGTGAATCTATAGAGGTCACGATGATACGGCCGCCGTCTGCGAATGACATGGGTCGCTGGACTGGAGACAGTAAATGCAGACTGTGTCGAAGTGGTCTTAGCTGTGCACAACTCTTCCTCCTAGGCCTCACGAAAAGGTGACGACGACTCCTCGGACGCAAGGGGCTCATTAAATTTCACACATGACGAGTCAAATCATGAATCACTTGAAAGTTCAAGTTCTCTTGCAACTGTCAAGGCCCGAAGAAAGCGACAGCACACAGGACAGGGCATTCGCTGGAGGCATCAAAAGGCAGCTGCACACTGCATTGCACCATGTCGTGTCAAGTGGGCACTCTCACATCACTGGCTGACAGTTGCCAAGGCCCTGGCACATCATCTCGGACACATCGCGGGCGCCTAAAGCAGTGCCATCAACGAAGTCCTGGATAACAGTTAGTAGGCTGCCATGCATAGTCATCACAACATTTAATTACAACCCATTCTAATTCGCAACCTCCCTGACTCAGTTGCTAAGAGATGTGTTGCATAATTTGTCGATGCGTGGTCAATGATATGAGCTTTAACTCCACATGACTGCTCAGCCTAAAAGCATCTTGCGGCAGTTCTGGAACAAGGTTCGGCAGCTCCGAAGTGGCAGGCAGTGCACTCAGAAAATCACCGGCTTCCACTCCTCCACACCCCCCCCCTTCCTTCCTTGTTCGACCCCCCCCCTCCCCCATCCCCCTCATCCCCCCCATCCCATCCCCCCCCCATTCCCCCCATCGCCCCCACTCTCTCCCTCCCTCACTCCCTCCCATTCCCTCCCCTCAATGTGCTGTGACAGCTGCTTCTGCTGCTGCGCTATCACAGCGCCTGAATTGAAGTGTGCACTGTCCCAGTGCCTTCTTCCGCGCTATCGCAGCGCCTGAATTGAAGTGTGCACTGTCCAGTGCCTTCTTCTGTGCTATCGCAGCACCTGTGGATGTGTCCGTGTGCACTGTCCCAGTGCCTCTATGATTCTGTGCTGTCCCAGCACTCCCGGCCTCTTCTTGCTAGGATCTCGTCGCCGAGCTTGCCTGCAAGGCCCTGAAAAGGATGCCTGTGGTAGACTTTAAATTGTTGTACTAGGGTCTAGGCTAGGGTTTCTGGTTTCAACAAGTTTAGGGCAATTTAGGGCTATTTGGGTGGTTTCAGATGGGAAGTTGATGTGGGCCCGGGAAGATTTACGAATAGTGGGCTGAGGTCCATTAATGATGATGGTAACCATGATCATGACAAGATTCAGCTGACAGCCCTTTGATATGAGCAAATGTGTGGGGATGGCCAAAATGCACTGAGAATCCTACCAAGGACGGGTACTCTTTAGAAGCCTGCAGCAACTGGCATTCCAAGCTGAATTTCATGGTGTCTGTGTGACCAACAGGACAAAGAAACAGGCATGGTTGTGTTGTTTTCGAAATGTCGGGTTCCAGCTGTTCGCCCACACCCACCCATGTGCCAGGTGTGTGTGCATGCATGTAGTATGTGTATTAATATATATATATATATATATATATAAATATATTAGCTTGTCAGCATGTTCTCTCACAGGCCCAAAAAACTCTGGGCATCAGGCTCTTGGTTTCTTTCAACCACCTCTGAAATTTGCCAACGATTCTTCCAAAACACAGTGGCAATAATGACGAGAAGCAGGCCGAACCTAAGATTTACGATTTCCCATTCTTACTTGGTACCAAGTAAGAATGTAAAATCTTATGCACACATATCTGAGGACTACATGTGTGAAAGCAATGAGAGAGATAGACTGGAAATCGAGGTTTTGAGCTTCTCGGTGGTGTTCCACTCTTACTGGATACCAAGTAAGAGTGTACAATCTTCATTTTTGTAGAGGACTACATGATCAAGTACCGAAAAAAACAAACTATCACTTGCTATTGGCCAAACTATCGGTTGTAATGACTGTTCCTTCTTACGGTTGATGATATGAACCCTGCATGACCCGTTATAAGGAGACTCAGACAACCCGTAAACCCTGAACTTGAGTAATGAATAATGACACTTGCTGTTGGTGATGTGTGGAAAAGTTCTGACAACGTGTCTGGGTCTGCCGGAGAAGTGAAGCCAGTCTGCCTTAGTCACTCCCATTACCCCGCCTGACCTTGTAGGGTGCCGGCCCCAAACAACACAAGGGTTGACGACACCACCATGTTGAGCTGCCCAGCTAAGGACACCGAATCTTCCCTGGCAGAAGGTGCACCCCTTCAGACGGCTCTGATTGCTCGGGAGCTGCTTGACAGAGAGGAATGCATATTTTGCGCTCACAGTTCAAAGTTCCAAGGCATGCAGCAGCCTTGTGCTTGTCCAGAGTCTAGAACTGATGGAAAGCATTTCCATTGATGATACCTTCCTGCACGCCTCCGGCGTCTCGCTGCCTTTTTCTTGCGTACCTGTCTCGATATGTGAGTCTTTACTCATGTGTATGTGTATATATATATATATATATATGATGTGTATGTGTGCATGTGTTTACATATACATATATATATATATATATATATATATTTTTGATACACATACACAGATGCATGCTGTCTCTTAGCCTTCTGCTCCGTTCTGGAGAGATTGATCTCCTGTCGGCGTTCTGCCAACACGTAGCATACCCGAGAATGCACCGGATGCCTGGCAGGAACAGGCGAGGAGTTCTGCCACTTGGGATGCTGCGGCCTGAGACGCAAAACCCTAAACTGACACCACAGAAAGCGAGGCGCCTCGCAGGCAAGCCTTTTGATATTGTTTGGGCCAGCAGCGGGGTACTGCGATTCGGGTGACCTGACAGTAGGGATAGCATACGAGCATCTCACAGAGTTTGCCAGTTCTCGAAGACAGCCATGATCCCTCTTAAGATCTCTTAAGTAAACACGATAAACGCGAAGCACTGGTACTTCGCGCGAAAAGGGGTGATTAAGAAATCACCGGTATTTCGGTAGATCTTTCCAGGTTCCTGTTCACTCACACTTGGACTGTCACTGCAACATGCCCTGATCCTCTAGGGGATCCAGCCATCCGGGACTTTTGAACTTCAGACAATCTTCAAGTGGAACAGGAGAAACTAAACTCAACCCATTCGTACTTCAGTTCCTGATGAGGTGCGTCGGCTCTGGTTCTGCCGGCAGCCCAGAAGACAGAGTGGGATGTGCTATGATGCACTTCATGCACTTTGGGTTTGTAGGGTCTGAGACGACTCCAATGCATCTTAAAAGCCACAAGCCTAATAGAAGCAATGCCTGATCAGTGCCTGCATACATTGCATGCATACGTAACGACACGCCGCATACGCGCGCACCCACACCCACACGCCGACACCTGCACCCATTCACAGGGACATACATACAACCGTGCGCGCGTGCACCCAAACTGATTCCGCTCGGAAGTCATCGAGACTTGAACGTTGGTGCATGTTGGTGCACCACTCCGCCTTTGTGCCAAGGACATCTCTCGCCAACATGTTGGAGGCAACTGCTGGGGTGCGAGCACCAACTATCTTAAAGCTGCTCGATCTCTCTCTCTCTCTCTCTCTCGCTTCAGACTGTGAAACTGCACAGCTCAGCATGAGTTTCGAAGCAACGCTCCGCGAAGCACTTTGGCTGTAGTTGCCGCTTCCATCTAGGGCCTCCATACATTTTACATAGTCCACAGAAAGCTGGGTTGCAAACTTGGGAATGCAAGGACACGGTAGCATGCCATAGTTGCAGAGGTTTTTGGGTCTTCGTAAAGGCAAGAGTAGGAAGGA